AGAAAAAGCCGAGACTTGTCGCGAAATAGCGTTAGCGAGGAGGTTAGAAGGTAATGGCCGAGGCGAGCCGAGTCGTGTTTTAGTAACTGCCGTAAATTAGTATAGGATTAATCCAGCTGTGTTCGTGGATGGTGGGACAAAATTTTGAATTCCAGTGTAAATTGTCAAAGTTAAAAGTCAAAACCTTGAAAAAAAACCTTGAAAAAGTAGAATTTTATGAAAGACAATATGTCTGACAGTAACTCTAGGTAGTAGTGTTGTCCATAGCAATTACTTCATGCTATCCTAGCGACCAGGGGCATTAACATGTATTCAGAAAGGGCAAAAAATGCGCATGACAAGAGGATGCTTACGCGAACTGTGGATAACTGATTGCTTCATCGACACAGACGAATGCCATCACAACACCACTGGGAGTTTGCACGAATTGATCATCCAGACGCCAGGAACCACGTTCCGGTTCCAATTCCGTTTCCTGCAACTCACTTCTCTTAATTAAGAAACCTTGAAAATAGCTTTTTTTGACAGCTGGGTGCAATGGATAAGCGGGTACCACCAGTCTTAGGTTCAAGCTAATGCTTCGAATCTGACCAGTGTAACAATTAATCTCTGTATATCTCATTTCTGGAATTTTTTTCTGGATAAGTGGTCTAGCATGAGGCTTGGAAAAAAAACAATCTTAGGTTGGCCGTTAAACCTTCCATTCCGGCTATCCAAAGCCCTCCAACAACTCTCTTACACCTTCATCCGGTTCGATCTATTCGCCATGGCTTACGCTACTTTAACAAATCCAGATTTTTACGTCTGCATAAGTAGTTTTTGACCCACACATTATATATTGCCTTTTACGGTTCTGTGGTTTTCATTACAAAACGCCGTTTAGCTCAGCACCTACGTTCCTATTTGGAATGACTGCCCCTTGGGTGGGCCTCTACGGGCTTTCCCACTCTTCTTATTTCACTTCCAATCCTGCCCTATAAATCTGAGGTGCAAATATATGCACATTTTCTTCAGAACACACCCAAAACAATTCCCCTCAGTGAATATGCAAGCTGAAACTCCCTGGTACACCTAAAATGATAAAAACCAAAAAAATCATGACGGATTAGTAATTCCTCGCAGTGGCAGATGCAAACCAACAGCTCCTGTCATTGGTCAATATATCAGTCCCGCATCAAAATTCTGGCTCGACATTCCTCTTTTTTGAAGAAATCAAAAAAAGAAGAAAATATGACATCTCTTCCATTACTAGTGTTAGTTTGTTTTCATTACTGTTACCTTCGAGATAGTATTTTACTTTATTACCATTCCTTGCTTAGGAAATATGTTATTAACTTATCTTCATATAGTTTTATTTCGCTTTCAAATTTATACATTCAGTTCCAATTTAACTTTTGCGCTTTCTGCATTAACCAAAGGTTATTCACTAAATATCTTATTAAAACTAATTTGAGACTACAAAAGTCGTACTAATTAGGTCCGGTCATGATGCTCTGTGTTTACGACTTTAAGGATCGAAACATTCCTGCTCAGCTGATTCATTATAATTTGAAATGCCACTTTGTTAAATTTTATTATAATACTTTTAAGCTTTTAAGTAACTTTTGAACCATGAAAAACCTCACTTTCAGAGTGATTGTTGGGGCCGGTAAGACACGGCCAGTAACTGAAATTGACTCAGGCACTTGATCTTCATTGAGAGACGGGAACGAGACTCCAAAATTTTGCAAGAATTCGTCGTCTGTGGCTATTTTCATGCCCTCAAGGAACCAATCGATCCTTTTAAACCGTTCCAACGGGCTTAGTGCTGTCCCCTGAAATGTCATTTCCACTCACTAATGAGATTGGGTATTCTCGAAACCGAACATGACTTATTAAAATTTAAAAGAAAAAAAACTTTTTTTTGCAAAGATATGAATTTTTTGCAACATTTTCCAATCCGTTTTCCAAAAAAATGCATGTTAAAGGACTCTGGAGTAGATTTCACAGCGTTGCCGATATCCATAAAGTAGAAGATGGAAATTCACGTTAACGACGGCGGTGAAGTACAGATTGAGAATCCAGCCATCGGCGAAAGCAGAAGAGCGAAATCCGGCATGGTGAGCAGTGGAACGAAGGATGCTTGGAGTGTCTCTTCTGACCACGTAAGAGATCAGAGTCTCTGTCAAGACAAAGTAAGGAATCATATTTGCTGTCAGATTAGCGGCAGGCTGGTTATCACTGCGACCATGCGAGAAAGTAAAATCCGATTGGCAGGAAAAGTCGTTTATCTGGCTGGCCAATCGATGGACGGACGCCTCCTCTCAGTGAGTGGTATTTGCAGAAAAGTGCGCGACTGTTCTTGCCCAGAAGATATATCGAATAGGCGGTGGGTACAAAGGCACTCAGCCCAGGATCGAGGAGCCTGGCATAGCTTGCAAAGGTGTGTGAATGCATTCTAATAAAGCCGCACAGATCAGATTCAGACATCGATCATGCGGGTGTCTTGGTAATCTTAATAGCTACAAATAAAAAACGAATAGAAGAAACTAGCTTGTATTAAATTTCAAGCAAAAAAAAAGTAATCTGAGCCAAATTTCAAGCAGAAAAGTTAATTTGAGCCAAACAAACGAGAGCTCTGAGAAGCTAAAATCCTGGTAGGGATTGAGAAGCATACCCTGATAAGCCTGGCAAGCTGGACCGGTGTTAAACGCTTCTTCACACGTTGTGCTTTGTCGGAGAGTCGCATCAATTCCATTGGGTAATATTCTGCTTTCGATCTCTTCCCACATACCAATACAGGTAGATTCGGGAAATGAAGTCTTATATCTGAAAATTCGAGCGTCTGAGCTTTGTGCAAAAAATGCAAAATTATGAAACTCCAGAACAATAGAGTATCCACAGCCCGGGGGAAAGGGGACGGAGGAGGACAAAAACGAATAAGTACTCCAAATTCTCAGCCCTTTGAAGCACTGAAGTAAAAAAAAGGCATAAGAAAAGACAGTGGAGATGGCAGAAACAACAAATTCAGAGGGGGATGTGAATAAGAGACCAAAAATCAAAGGTTAGAAAAAAAAACCTCCTTTTTTCAATTATTAAAAGAATATGCGCAAAGCTGTACTGGTAAAAATAGGATGGATGAGAACAAATTTTGTCAGGTAACTTGTCAAATTACTACAGCCATCAGGGAGTAACGATGCGATTTGCGAAAAAACGATAAAAAAAAGTTGGGCGTACATGGAATATCACGTAGTTTGCAGATAAAATGCAGAGGTTGCAATAGAACGCATAACCTACTTTTATATTCGGCGAAATATTCTTCAACGGTGAGCTCGCGTACAAATTTTTCGTCTCGCATCAGTTGGAAACTGAAAACATAAAAATATCATTTTCAGTGGTCTCTCATTCGAAATGACTAACTTACTGAAGAAAAAAAAAAAAAAAATGCCCCCATAAACTACAGTTATCGAAGGCTTGGCGTACTGATGAACAGCGCTATTCTCAAGCCAAAATAATTGGATGAATTCCGTTGTTCTCATTTGTTTCAATGGTAAACTGGTACCGGCATATGCCCCGAAAGACAAGAAAGCCAACAAATGACATTTAAGTGATTTATGGGAAAAATCCAGATACTCAATGGCGGATCCAGGACACTGGACCCCTTCCCTCTCAGGGGCACAGATTGCAGTGTTAAAAGTGAAGGAAGTTATGTCTGACGCCACAGGTCCCCCTCCCCCTTCCCCAAGAGCCTCACTTTCCTGTTCCTTTCTTTCCCCCACTTCTC